CGCCATCTCCTCCGGCGATATGCCGGTGAAATTCTCTTGGTTTCTTAATGGTAAAACTCTGCACGAAGCCGATGGATTCAGCGTATCTTCGGTTGGAAAGAAGACGTCCGTCTTGAACATCGATTCTTTGGCGGAGAATCACGCCGGGAATTACACGTGCTTAGCGACGAACGCGGCGGGAATTTCGAGTATAGCTTCCGAACTCGTCGTCAAGGGTAACGCGCGCACGCATGTTTCAACTTGAACCTTCTCATTAACCTTTAACTCTTGATTCCGTTTCTCTTGATTATCTGTTTCTTCCACATAATTCTAAATCATTTTTATTCAACTTTGAGAAATTGTGTTGTCTCAGTTCCACCGCAAATCTCTCCTTTCGATTTCGGAGATGAACCCACGAACTTCGGAGAAGCTGTTTCAGTTATGTGTATGGCGAAAGGCGATTTTCCCATTAAAATCTCTTGGACTTTGAACGGCAAACCCATAGATGAAGAGGCTCAAGATGTGAGCGTTCTAAACTCCAAGAGAACTAGCACACTTAATATCGAATACGCGCACGCCGAGTATGCAGGAGAGTACGCTTGCATTGCAGCAAATCTAGCAGGAATTGCGAGCTATTCAACGCACCTCCATGTAAATGGTACTTTGTAATTATCTTATTATTTTTCACTTAGTTCTACCCAAATTGCTTCCGTTCTCTTTCGGAGATGAACCCTCCTACCTCGGTGAATCCACTTCAGCGTATTGCGCCGTCTCCGCCGGAGATATGCCGGTGAAGTTCTCTTGGTTCTTGAACGGTAAAACTCTGTTGGAAGCGGACGGTTACAGTGTTTCGTCCTTCGGAAAGAAGTCTTCGGTGTTGAATGTCGAATCGTTGGCGGAGAACCACGCCGGAAATTACACGTGCCTAGCAACGAACGCTGCTGGTATCTCGAGCGTTGCTTCGGAACTGGTCGTCAATGGTAACTTGTAAATTAAACAAAGCGAATGTATCCTCATCAATCCACTGTCTTTTTACTACCTTCTGTTTTACTCGAAACAAATTGAAACTATTTTCCGGTTAATTTGCAGAATTTCAAAACACATTTGAAGACTGTCGTTAAATCTTGTATTATTGTTGTCAGCTCCTCCGCAAATCACTCCATTTGATTTTGGAGATGAACCCACGAATTCCGGAGACATCATCTCCATAACGTGTGTCGTAAAAGGAGATTTTCCACTCAACATCTCTTGGTTTTTAAACGGCAATCGTTTAGATGATACAGACGATTTCAGCATTTTAAAATCGAAAAGAACGAGCACACTCAATATAGAATCTGCTAATGCTCAACATTCTGGAGAGTACTCTTGCGTAGCCTCAAATCTAGCCGGAACGACGAGCTATTCCACCCATCTCCATGTAAATGGTACCATTATAATTACTCTTTATACTCTCTCTTTCTCTTAATCTAGTTTTACCCAAATTACTTCCGTTTTCTTTCGGCGATGAACCCTCCTACCTCGGAGAATCCACCACAGTTTATTGCACTGTTTCCGCCGGAGATATGCCCGTGAAATTCTCTTGGTTTCTTAATGGTAAAACTCTGCCCGAATCCGATGGCATCAATGTCTCATTGTTCGGGAAGAAAACTTCGGCGTTGAACATCGATTCTCTGGCTGAGAATCACGCAGGAAACTATACGTGTCTCGCCTCGAACTCTGCAGGAATTTCGAGCGTCGCCTCAGAATTGGTCGTCAAGGGTATAAACGTTCCAATTAATTTACAAATGCATCATATAAATAATCCTCAAATACACATGTACACACTCTTTCCTTCGATTTGCTTTTACGATGTTTGTAATTGTTAAATTATGTTCTTCTCGACCGAGTCCAATCATCTTAAATGTATTATATATTGTCCATGGCAACAATCTCCATGGCGACGGTGTTATATATTATTGTAAACGGAAAATGTGAACGGTGTCGATCGTCAGTTGCTCCTAGGATAGCGCCGTTCATCTTCGAGGAGAATCCGATGAACGAAGGTCGCTATGCGCAGGTGTACTGTTTAGTGTCCGAAGGTGATCTTCCGCTTAACATCCTCTGGGAGTTGAACGGAAACTCTTTGGAACGTTTCCAGGAGATAAGTTCGGGAAAGATGGGAAGTCGCACTTCCTTTCTGACCATCGAGTCAGTGTCTGAAAGCAGTTCCGGCAATTACACGTGCACAGCAAGAAACAAAGCCGGAGAATCCACCTACACTGCACAGCTCATAGTTACCGGTTATTTTATACTTTTTTTTTTAAAACTATATAAATTAGAATACCAAATGTATACGTTTTGCCGCTATATTACAATCAATTCCATCCTTTTCGTAATCAATGAATGTTTCGATCGTCTCAGTTCCACCGAAGATCGCTCCGTTCATCTTCGAAGAGAACCCCATGCACGAAGGTCACTACGCTCAAGTAACTTGTCTCGCATCGGAGGGCGACATGCCCATCGAAATCAAGTGGAAACTTAATGGGAGATCTTTGATCGATTTCCCGGAGGTTTCCTTCCTGAAAGTCGGACGAAGAAGTTCCATTCTGACCATAGAATCAGTGTCTTCAGCGACAGCTGGAAACTACACTTGCACCGCTGAAAATAAAGTCGCAGCAGCGAGTTTCACAACGGAACTCGTCGTTACCGGTTATTTAAACTTTTCAATTCTAACTTATCGATTCCCCCGTCTTCCTTTCGTCGTTACTTAGTGCCTCCTGGTATCGCTCCCTTCGTCTTCGAGGAGAATCCCATGCACGAGGGTCGCTACGCACAGCTCATCTGCTCTGTTTCCGAGGGCGATTTACCTTTGGACATCGAATGGACGCTGAACGGAAAAAGCGTGGACGACTTCGTCGAGATCTCACACGTCCAGGTCGGACGGAGAAGCTCGATCCTCACCATCGAAGCGGTCTCCTATCTGACCTCAGGAAATTACACTTGCATTGCCAGAAACAAAGTCGCCACAGCTAGTTTCACCGCGCACCTCGTCGTTACCGGTTAATATCTCTTTTTAACGTTCGCTATTTCTTCCCAGTTCCCCCAAACATTGATCCATTCATCTTCGAAAAGAGTCCGATGAGCGAAGGGCGATTCGCCCAAGTCAATTGCATCGTTTCCGAAGGCGATCTTCCCATTGAAATCGATTGGAAATTGAATGGAAACACGTTGGAAGCTTTCCCCGAAATCTCTTACACGAAATTAGGCCGAAGAAGTTCAATTTTGACGATAGAATCCGTATCTTACGCAACGGCCGGTAATTTCACGTGCACCGCCGAAAATAAAGTTGCCACCGCCAGTTTCACAGCGGAACTCGCAGTCACCGGTTACTATTTTAACTTATATTGATTAACTTTATCTTGAACGCTTCTCTCATATTCCTTCCTCTCAAAATAAACAAACAATACAAGTCTTTGTCTTTGCGGTCTGCATTCTAGTCCCTCCGAGTATAACGCCATTCGTTTTCGAAGATAGTCCAATGAACGAGGGACGTTTCGCTCAAGTGAATTGCATCGCTTCGGACGGAGATTTTCCCATTGAAATCGATTGGAAATTGAACGGAAACACTTTGGAAGCTTACCCCGAAATCTCTTACATGAAAATCGGTCGAAGAAGTTCAATTTTGACGATAGAATCCGTGTCTGCGGCGACTGCGGGAAACTACACCTGCACCGCCCGAAACAAAGTCGCTTCAACCAGTTTCACAGCCGACCTCTTCGTCACCGGTTATTCATTTACAGTTTACTTCGTAATTAGCAAAGATATTCTTGCGTTTAAACCAAATTTCCTTCACTTCAGTTCCACCCAAGGTCCTGCCCTTCATCTTCGAAGAAAGTCCAATGAACGTGGGTCATTTCGCTCAAGTGAATTGCATAGTTTCCGAAGGAGATTTACCAATTGAAATCGATTGGAAATTGAATGGGAAAACCGTTGAAACGTTCTCGGAAATCTCTCACACGAAACTGGGTCGAAGAAGTTCAATTTTAACCATAGAATCGGTATCTTCGGATACAGCAGGAAATTACACTTGCACCGCCAGAAACAAAGCTGCTGTTACCACTTTCACGGCAGATCTCATCGTCACCGGTTAATATAATTTAACACGTTTCCTTTCTTTCTTTGCATCTTTTTCCTTCACCACCGTCGTCAGTTCCTCCTCGGATCACTCCGTTTCTTTTCGAGGACAATCCTCTGCACGAAGGGCAATACTCGCAGGTCACTTGCCTCGTCTCCGAGGGGGATTTTCCTTTGGAAATCGAGTGGACGTTGAACGGACGTTCGGTGCAGGATTTCCCGGAGATCTCCTACACGAAACTGGGACGAAGAAGTTCCATCCTGAGCATAGAGTCGGTGTCTTCGCAAACGGCAGGAAACTACACGTGCACCGCCAAAAATAGAGCCGCAGTTAACACTTTCGCTGCTCAACTCATCGTCACCGGTTTACATGAATCTCTTTATTCTCTCTCTATTCTCAACACACTCCTTAACTAAACCAAAAACCCACTTTGATTCTTCTCTAACTTTCTAAGTTGTCACGTTCTTTCATCAGTTCCTCCGAGGATAACGCCGTTCCTTTTCGAGGATAATCCCGTTCACGAAGGTCAATACGTTCAGGTCACATGTTCAGCAGCGGAGGGTGATCTTCCCGTTGATTTCACTTGGGATTTGAACGGGAAACCGTTAGACGACAATGGAATTTCTTCGACGAAGATGGGAAAACGCAGCTCGTTCTTGAGCATCGAGGCCGCCTCCTATGATCACGCCGGGAATTTCACTTGCTCCGCGACGAATCGCGCAGGACGCACGTCCGTAACGGCTCAACTCGTTATAACCGGTTAATTCATTGTTCTTGCTTTGTTTGTATTGTTTTTTAAATTTCTATCCCAACCGCCCAACGTTTTCCATCTATTCTTTGTTGTTGTTGTTGCTTCTCAACACTTCTTCATGCTTTTTCCGTTGTTTTCTTTTTCGGTGCGTGTCAGTCGCTCCTCGCATCGTTCCGTTCGAGTTCGAAGATGGTCCTCTGGAGAGCGGACAGTACACTTCCATTCAGTGCAGCGTCCCGCAAGGGGATTTCCCTTTAACAATCTCTTGGTATTTCAATGAAAAACCTATTAATGATTATGATGAATCGAGAGTGTTGGTATCTGCTGTCGGACGTAGAAGCAGCAGTTTGGTCATCGAATCTGTGGATTACGGGCACGCCGGGAATTACACGTGCAGAGCTAAGAATCGTGCAGGAATCGCCGATTTCACGTCCCTCTTGACAGTGTACGGTTAGTTTCTTTTTCTCGAAAATTTCCCTCTTTCTTCGTTCCATTCCAATCCACACTAGAACCGTGCTTTTCTTCATTTGTTTTGTAATGGTTTCACTAATTCACAGTGTTACCATGGTAATATATTGTTTGTTCATGCGTTCAATTTACGCACAATTATTATACATTTATAAACTATTCTTTGATTATCCTGTCCGGTGTGGATCCACTACTTATTTCATCGCCGTGGGTAGAAAAAAGGTACTCAAATTAAGATTAACGTTAATTGAAAACATAAATTCGCATAAGAATCGCACCATAAAAACAACGAAACTCAATATTATTAAGGGTTGCTTTGGTAACCTGGCGCGTCCACCATTCTGATTTCGATAGGTTATTCGAAATTTACAAATTGAATTTGATTAATTAATAATGCTTAATTTACAGAAATAATGTGGGAAATTCGTATTTATCCGTAATTTGCAAATATTTATTTCTTGCGTCGACCCGGCGCATCCACCTTTACCGCACATGCGATATAATTCGATTGATGTTGCCAATAGCAACGATATATTGTTTATTAATGTTACGTTATTTATTCGTTTGTTTCTTTTGAAGTTGTTGGAATTACTTACGATTGTTTCAATATTTAACATCTTTTCTTCATCGATTTTCTGTTTAATTACTGCTAGATGTTTCTAACGTTTGGTTGTGGGGTGTGTTATAATCATCTTTTTATATCTTCGTTTTGAAATGTCAACTTGTCATGTGTATGGTATGTGTGTGCGTGTGTGTTTCAATTGTTACTAATAAACGGTTGGTATTTTATATCACGTGACTAACTTTATTATTCAATTGTTGGTAACAGTTGTGTTTGTTGACGTTTATTAGAAATGTCAGAGAAGTTTGTTTGTTTGTGATTGAAAGTAGTGTCCGTGCTACACAATTATTGTATCATCATAGATGAAGAATGAAGAGTTGGTTGGTTGATGGTTCTTGCAGTTCTTCCGCAAATCGTGCCGTTCAATTTCGGATCGTCTCCGGTGCACGCCGGCCACCCGGTTCAGGCCACCTGTCTCGTCTCCAAGGGCGACCTCCCGGTGGACATCACCTGGAGTCGCGACGGTGGCGGCAATCAACAACTAGATGGCGTATCGATCACGAAGATCGGAAACTTGGCGAGTCTCCTACTCATCGAGGAAGTGCAATCGTTTCAAGCCGGAAACTACACGTGCACCGTCAGAAGCGACGCCGGAACAGTCCGAAGATCCGCACTCCTCCTCGTCTACGGTACATCCGCACTCAAATTTCCAAATCACTTCATATCAAAACTTATATGTATCTGTATATATATTCACATCGATTGTCGATTGTTTCGCACCTTTGTTGTTATTGTTGTTGTTGGTTGTCGGAGGTTGAGGTCGTCGCATCCTCTATATATTTCTTAATCAGCGTTGCCTAGACGTTCATCTGTTTCGATCCCGGCCAGAGCCTTCCGTCTACAAAAACATTCCTTTCAAAAAAATTAAATAAACACCTTTCCTGTTCCCGAATCTGGCCTGGGATTCACGAAGAAGAAAAAGACCGGAACAAACCCGTCGCTCCATCCCATGTCGTGTCTCTTTTAATTTCAAATTTAATGCATGCAATATTACTAACGAAATTTTCAATTAACAATTTATTATTATCTTTAGTTGTCCCCTCCTTTATTATTTTCGTAGATTTGCAAATAATAATAACTAATCAATTAATGCACGTCAAATTCAGAAGAGAGCTTCTTGCATGCGTGTAGTACTGCCAAATCGAAGTTTATTCGAGTACTTTGACTAATCGTGAAATTTTTTGCGCGCAAATTTTAGTTCCACCGAGATGGATCCTCGAACCCACCGACAAAGCGTTCGCGCAAAGCTCAGACGCCGCAGTCGAATGCAAAGCTGACGGATTCCCGAAGCCCACAGTTACCTGGAAGAGGGCCACAGGTAAATTGAACACCATGAACACCATTCGAAGCATACAATTCTCATACATTTCTCAATGATTTGCAGGATCCGTTCCCGGAGATTACAAAGACTTCAAACCCAACAATCCAGACATTAAGGTCGAAGATGGTACTCTCATGATTAACAACATCCAGAAGAGCAACGAAGGTTATTATCTGTGCGAGGCAGTCAATGGCATCGGTTCCGGTTTATCAGCAGTCGTCTTGATCAGCGTTCAATGTAATATTACTTTTTGTACGATCCATGTATGATGATTGATTCAATTCGATTTTCGCTTTGCAGCTCCACCGCAATTCGACATCAAACTTAGGAATCAGACGTCCCGCCGCAACGATCCTGCTGTCCTGCAGTGCGAGGCAAAGGGCGAAAAACCTATTGGCATCTTGTGGAACATCAACGGAAAGAGATTGGAACCGAAGGGAGACAGCCGTTACACCATCCGCGAAGAGATCCTGCCCACCGGAGTCTTATCCGATCTGAGCATCAAGCACACCGAGCGATCCGATTCAGCCCTTTTCACGTGCGTCGCGACGAACGCATTCGGCAGCGACGACACCAGCATCAACATGATCGTGCAGGAAGTACCGGAAGTGCCGTACGAGTTGAAGGTCCTCGATAAATCCGGACGTTCCGTGCAGTTGTCGTGGGTTGCCCCGTACGACGGTAACGCTCGCATCACCAGATACCAAATCGAGTACAAACAGATCAAGATGCGATGGGACGAAGGATTGGAGCGCGTCCTTGTGCCTGGCGATCAGACCGAAGCTGGAGTTTTCACCTTGAAACCGGCGACCACGTATCACATCAGGATCGTCGCCGAGAACGAACTGGGATCGAGCGAGCCTTCCGATACTGTCACCATCATCACGGCCGAAGAAGCACCGGGCGGTCCACCATCCGGCATCCGCGTCGAAGCAAACGATCAGCACGCACTGAAGATCTTCTGGAAACCACCGAACCGCTCCGACTGGAACGGCGACATCCTCGGCTACTACGTCGGCTACAAACTCGCATCCGCCGATAAACCGTACGTCTTCGATACCGTCGAATTCAGCCGTGTCGAAGGATCCGAGCATCATCTCCTCATCACCAACTTGAAGACTTACACTCAGTACTCGGTCGTCGTGCAGGCATTCAACAAGGTCGGAGCCGGTCCCATGTCCGAGGACATCAAGGCGTACACGGCCGAAGGATCTCCGGAGCAGCCACCGCATGACACCACCTGCACCACTCTCACCGCACAGACGATCCGCGTCTCCTGGGTATCGCCCACTTTGACCGCAGCCAACGGAGTCATCAAGGGTTACAAGGTCATCTACGGTCCGACCGAATCCTGGTTCGACGAGAACACCAAAGACGCTAAGATCACCGCTTCCACCGAAACCATTCTGCACGGACTCAAGAAGTACACCAACTACAGCATGCAGGTGCTCGCTTACACGTCCGGAGGCGACGGTGTCCGCAGCAACCCGATCTTCTGTCAGACGGAGCAGGACGTGCCCGAAGCACCGATCGCTGTCAAGGCTCTGGTCATGTCGTCCGATTCGATCCTCGTCTCCTGGAAGCCACCGGTAGAGCCGAACGGCATCGTCGAACAGTACACGGTTTACGTGAGGGAGGCATCAAACGATGGCGATAACGATAACGACCACAAGCAGCAATCAGGAGATGTGAAACCGCGCGCCCATCGCGTCGTACCCAACGTGAAGAACCAGAATCTGAGCTACCAGGCAAAGGATCTGGACGAGAGACGCAGATACGAGTTCTGGGTGACCGCCTCCACCAACATCGGCGAAGGACAAGCCTCGAAGAGCGTCACCGTCGCACCCGGCTCCAAGATTCCCGCAAAGATCGCCTCCTTCGATGACTCCTTCACAACCACCTACAAAGAGGACATCACTTTACCGTGTCTCGCCGTCGGCCAACCGCAACCTGAAATCGCCTGGAAGATCAAGGGAGTTCAGTTCGCCGCCGCCAACGATCGCATCCGTCAGCAATCCGACGGATCACTGTTCATTCGCGACGTCACCAGAACCGATGCAGGCGAATACTCGTGTCACGTCGAGAACTCTTTCGGTCAGGATTCCGTCACGCATCAGCTCGTCGTCAATTCGCCGCCCCATTCTCCATTGGTAACTCTGACCTCTACCACGACCGGATCCTTAACGATCAAGCTGAAACCTCATCCGACCGACGTCGAACCCATCCACGGTTACACCGTCCACTACAAACCTGAATTCGGCGAATGGGAAACGGTGCAGGTGCCCAGTCACACCGACAAGTACACCCTCGAGAAGTTGCTCTGCGGCACCAGGTATCAGCTCTACGTCACTGCCTACAACAGCATCGGAACAGGAGATCCATCCGACAATCTGAACACGAGAACGAGAGGCGAGAAACCGATCATCCCGAGCGCCGATAAATTCATCGAAGTCTCCTCCAACAGCATCACTCTGCACTTTGACGAATGGTCCGATGGCGGATGTCCGATGCTCTACTTTGTCGTCGAACACAAGAAAAAGTTGGATTTTCGATCGATATAATAGTGTGAAGCTAATTCTCTTTTTATTTTCTCAGGGTCAGCTCCGAATGGATCCAAGTCTCGAACCATGTTAAACCAGGTGGCAACTTTGTCGTGCTCGATCTCGATCCGGCCATGTGGTATCATCTCCGTGTCACCGCTCACAACAACGCAGGATTTAATGTCGCCGAATATGAATTTGCCACTCTCACCGTTACAGGAGGTACGTACAAAAAAAAAACACCACTTCAGATAACTAAAACAAACCGAACAAGCAAAATTTAAACGAACGAAAGATTGATTATTCTAATACCTAACCGAACCGAACCAACCAACCAACCATCCCCAATCTCCCTTCGATTGTAAATATTTCTGGCTTGTATAATAACCATATTATAATCGTGTCCCCACGCTTTCTTCGCTTCTCAATGTGTGTGTGTGTGTATATGTTTGTTTCACGTATTTATTGTTATATGAAACCCCATTTCACACGCTTTAACCAACCAATCAAACCTTCACTCCCTCTTCCACAAGATGAAAAACCAACCAAAAAGAATAACAACGTTATTTGCTTGCCTTTAGGCGCCCAAAATCAAAGGCACCCGCTTTTACTTGATCAGAGCTTTTCCCCCCCCCCTTATTGAATTCAGTTGATGATAGAAATTATCGCTTACTATTTGATATTGGACGCCTTCTATACTATTACTAATTACTCGTTACTAATCGATTTGCCTTGCAACAAACAAATTACTATATAACTATACAATAACATTGAAACATTACTAACTAACATCTCCAATTCGGACAATAGTACCTGAATCAGAGAACCAAACCAAATCTATTTTCTTTCTTTTCTCTCTACTATCAAACTATACTAAAAACAATAATAATAATAATAACAACGAATATGAGTTTCCTTGATCATCATCCTCTAATTATTTCAATAATTCATATTCCACCCCCCAATCTCTTCCCTCTGGGGCAAGAGATGGATAGATAAGATGCAATGCAATGCAGATAAAACAAGAAAGCCAATCAGCAAGCTAAAGCCAAAGCCAGCCCCCCAGCATGTCGTGACTGTTGTGATTATTTGCAGGTACTATTGCTCCGGCCCGCGAGATTCCCAAAGAAGACACAATCCAAATAATCCTGGCCAATCTGAATCTAGTAGTCCCTGTAATAGCGGCCGTGTTAGTTATTATTGTTGCCATTGTAGTAATCTGCGTGTTGAGAGGCAAAGGAAACTATCAGAAAGGTAATTCTTCTAATCGCTCGTTTTCGTATTTTCTCTCTCCCTCTCTCTCTCTCACCCTTGTAACCATTCTATCGTTCCTCTCTTCTCCTATCCATTACCCGTCCACTCCATTATCTAGGTACTATCGCTCCGGCCAGAGAACTGCCCGGCGCCAGATTCTTATTCCCATGGCTACCCGAATGGGTTGATCTGAACATCGCGGTGCCGGTCGCAGCCACCGTGATCGTCGTCGCCGTCGGCATCATCGTCATCTGCGTCGCAGTCTCTAGGCGAGCCCACGGACCCACCCAAACCAGATTGACTAGCGATTGTAGGTTTTGTATGTGAAGAGGACTCATGAGTAACATCCCATTATTATTACTACTACTACTACTATCGCCAATACTTACTTTATATGCTTTTATTTTTGTTTATTCGCTCTCTCTCTCTCTCTCTCAGTCTCATTTGTCATTTGCAGCAGCAGCAGTTTGCTTATGATCCATCATTATCATTCGCCAGACTGGATGCTAATCGTTGTTTTGTTTTCGTGCAGATGATGTCGTGTACAACCAATCGGTGAACGCCGTTGGAACTTTGGACAAGAGGAGGCCGGATTTGAGGGACGAATTGGGATACATCGCTCCACCGAACAGGAAGTTACCCCCCGTGCCCGGATCCAACTACAACACGTGCGATAGGATCAAGCGAGGTACCATAAGTAAGAGTCCAGGCAAAAACACCATCAAAAGCCCGACCAACAATAACAACATCTTCCATCTGGAGACGGAAATATCATCGTCACATCTTATTATATAATAGCAAAGAAGGTAGAAGGTGGTAATGGCGGCGGATATCTTCTGCCCCATCTCTCTGTCTACCTTACGAACTATAACTATACACACGGACACATATACAAACAAATTAAGCACAAACACACAAATTATTGTTTATTTAAAAAAATTGATTTCATTTTGATATGTGAGAGCGCGCGTTTGTAAATATCAACTAGTCGTCAAGTGGGCCCTTTCTTCTTGTTTATGAGATAGTATTTAGTTAGTTTGCTTGCATGCCAGTAGTAGAATATAATAGAGCAGAGAAGGAGGGGGTCCGGTTGGGTCTGTTGATGATGGGTCTAATGATGATGTTGGTGACGGATGGAGGAAGGGCTCTACGATGGCAGAAAACTGAGACTCACCCTAATACAAACTACTAATACAGCGACTACTCTAGTACGATTCTGATCTGAGCAGTAGTACGCAATCGTAAGTTGTTTCGATGTTGTTACGCGTTTTGTTACATGTTGCATTAGGACCACACTACCGTAGCCACTCGACCTGGGACCCCAGGAGGCACCTGTACGAAGAACTGAGCAACCGCAGGGGCTCTAACGAAACCGTTCACACTCACAGAGGAGGTACAATCATCATTTTCTATTTTATTCTATTTAGTATTTAGGGAATGATTGAACTACTACTACTAACAAATCCATATGATACATGATCAACTCCAACGACTAATGACTAACAACAGCAGCGTGCGAACATTTTTAACGACAGCAGACAGGTGGACAGATGATCAGTCGACGACGTTCCAAGTGTTATAATTGTTGTCTTTATTTTGTCTATTTGTTGTTTTCGTATTGCGTTTGTGTTTGGCAAGTCTAGACTGCGAATCTCTACGAGTGCGTTAGCGTAATGATGTAAGTCTTATTTGCATGGCGTAGCTTTACTTACTTTCATTAATTCTTTCTTTACTACAACACCGTTAACTTTTTACACTTATTTCGTCTCCGATCGTCGTCGCATTTTCTCCTTTCTCTCATACGAATTCGTACTAATTATTTCCATTATGGTAAAATAACACAGGCATGGAGGACGAGATCTGCCCGTACGCAACCTTCCATCTGCTCGGCTTCAGAGAAGAGATGGATCCCAGCAAGGCTATGCAATTCCAGACTTTCCCTCATCCACATGCCGGCACCATGGGTCCATCCGGGATGAACACACCGCATCAGGCTCATTCCAGGGCCGGATCTCAATCGATGCCCAGACAGAACAGGCGTTACGACCGCGTTGGCTCTCAAGGTAGTCAGTACTACACCCAGTGTACGTATCATCTTTTTCTATCATTCTCTCATTTTATCTCTACCATCGATCACCAAATTAAAATCAATCGATCCATCCATCTCTTATATTCTTATGCTCCCTCCATCTCTCTATCAATGCAATGAAAACAATGAACAAGGGAAGGAGTGGATGTAAGAGATAGTTTGTTTGATTGTATCGAATTGGCAATCGGAGAACAATAATAATTTCGATTCGATACCTCTCCGGTTGCTTCAACTCGACAAATAAATGGATCATTCATCTTTCGCACAAATAATACGAAAATAATATTCCCAAAATCAAAAAAAGAAACAACAAGAAATTTGCAAATTGCAAATGCCCCTCGGAACGGAAAGTAAGGTTTATCAAACTCTTCTCTTTCTTCTGTTACAACTAGTATATATATTAATTATTATTATTATAACATACAATTTCCATGTGTCATGAGTTATATATATTTCTATATCATCGAATTCTTTGCAAATTTATTTATTCATTTATGTTTTTCTATACGTTAACTCATCTCTCGATTGCAAGATTTCTATTCTTTTATTCATAATCATCCTCTATACTATCTTCAGTTTTATACATTTAGAGATTTAACGTTTCATTAGTCCCTTTTAACACTAGTTACTTTTCTTATTGTTCTAGGAAGGTAGGAAAATATCGAAGCGCTCGTCGGAAGATTCACTTCGATCTCAAATCATTTCTTTTATTACTTCCAGCGGGTGCTTCGATCTGTTGTTTGTTTCTAGTTTATTATATCGCTTCGTTTATTTATTTATTTCTTGTTGTCGAGTCGGCTACTCTACTATGTGCAATTGCAAGTGGTAGTCGTCGTCGACCTCGTCCACACTTTACGTCCACTCTTTGGTTTCAATTTGTCTGGTCTTTTGCTATCGATGTTTGCTATTATTATTATTATTATTACTATATTGTTATCGTCGTGGACCGAGTATTATTGGTGCGTTTCGCATTTTCTGTTTTCCGCATGTGTTTGGCGCAGGCAACGGAAGCATCTACAGCCCTGGACCCGAATACGATGATCCCGCAAATTGCGCCCCAGAAGATGAGCAGTACGGCAGCCAGTACGGAGGATACGGAAACCCCTACGATCAGTACGGAAGTCGCGGCAGCATCGGCAGACGTTCCATGGGATCCCTCAGAGTACCACCACAGACCGCCGGTAGTCCCGAACCACCACCACCTCCACCAAGGAACCACGACCCCAACGACTCCAAGGACAGCAACGAGATCTCCGAAGCGGAATGCGATCGTGATCAGCTCATCAACAGCCGCACCTACGGAGGTACGTAACTGTGTGTAGTTGCATACAACATTCCCCCATCGGCACATGCACCTCCATCTATTATTATACGTTGATCTATCACACACACACACACAAAATCAATTACAACACACTCTTTTATACACTACTAGTCCTTTTTGTTTTGTGTGTGTGCGTGTGCGCGTCTCTTTTTTTTTGTTTATTATTTTCTTTGGTTTTTAATCGTCGCGAATTTCTTCTTTGCAGAAAAGAAAGAAGAAGGTAAGTCTAGGCACAGGACCGTATTGAGAGCATTCATATATTCGCACACATCACATCACACCCGCACACCTACATACATACATACATCATTGAATCATTACATTCATCACAGACAGCATCGTCGATAAAAACAAATGATCATAGTGTGCAAATTATTGCTCCATATCTCTCGCACGTTGTTGTGTATCTTTTGTTTTGTTTTGTTTTTAATAATTTGGACTATTTTATGTGTGTGTGTGTGTAAATAATAGCATGCCGTGGAAACGAAAGCAATACGAAGAAGGATACGGTTATTCTTCGACTTCTCGTTTGTTTCTGTTTCAATAATAATGAGATTTGTTTCTTACGACCATTCAGATTCTCTCGTGCGTGTTGTGTATTTATTTAATTATTTGATTGATTGATTTGCGATTAATCGCAGTAAGCACATTAATTGCGTTTTCATTTTTTTTTAAATTTTTACTTTTTATTTCCTCGTCCGCCGCCTCCTTCGACGATTAAGATGATGATGTTTCGTGTCGGCGGCGGCGGACGCGCGTGTCTGGTGTTCGTGTAGTAAGTGTGGTTTGTTTTCAGTAATGAGAAATAGCGCTAAGGATGGCATGAACCACGAGGAGATGAGAAAACTGATTGAGAGGTAATTGCTGCTGCTGCTCTGTAAATAATAATCTTAATAATATTAACAATAATATCGGTTAACCATTAACAACAACAAAAAAAACTATTGCATCGTTCATTTCGTCGCAAGTGTTTTCTACATGTGCTTCATTACAACTTGCTACTAACTAACTAATTAATTAATCAAAACATGCAAACATGCTGATGATTTCAAAATGCATGCATGTCTGTCTGTTTTGTTTCTCTCTATATTTCTCTCATCATTTTCGTACACATACTAATAATATATATATAATATTTGTTTGTCTACTTCTACAATGTTGTCATTTTTCCATGTTCTTTCCTAACCAACCAACCAACCCAAAAACCCCCTCTCAACCAGGAGATCGTAAGTCCTTGTTGATCTTTTCTTTGCCAGCACACAAAACTGATAAACAGACAAATTTTTATTTTCTTTTTTCTTGTCGCTTCGTTCTTTCTGCTACTCTGAAATTAGTTTTAGTGTTTGAAATTGAAAATTAGTCCTAGATCCACGTCAGAGGATTTGTTTCCAACGCACCCTTTTATAGTATTCTGTACGATGCATCCCATTCGCACGCTTGTGTCGTATTTTGTTTTTATTCTTGTTTGTTTGTTTTTTGTTATTTCAAAGTAGAGTTTGTTTTATTTTTTTGGTTGCTCCAGTGTTTCCCAAACATTTTTCTTTCTTTTGTTTGGGATGAATGAGTGATCAAGGAATGGAAAGTACTACTATTCTATTGTTGTTTTCGTGTTGACAGAAATGAAATCCCAGGGCAAACAAACGGGGGACTCACAACCTACGATACTGTGGCAGTGTAATCTGTAAACGACCATCGCTGCTATCACTATGACGACGACGACAACTGCAGACGACACCGATCGAATGAATTTGGACGACGACGACGACGACGACTATACTCTGATCCGATCTGATATCTATATATGATTGGATAAAAGCATTTGTTTTCTTTTTTATCGCATTTTTTGTTTGTTTCTTTGTTTTGATTTACTACTGTAATTAGTTTCTGTTTTTTTTTTAATTAATGATTATTATTATTAGTAAACATTGCGGAAGAACGTATAGGAGGAGGAGGAAAGAAAGAAAAAAGGCAGACGCATCGGTCCAGTTCGATCCATCACATATTTTCGCTTTGACCAAAAAGAAAACGAAACAAAATTATTCTTTTTTTTTTGTTTCTTTGTTTACGTAATCTAATCGTTGTGAGACTGAATTTTTCTACTAACACACACATCTATTAGCTTTAGTCGCTCACTGATTTATTGATCTATTGTATATTTGTTTAATTTAATTTCTCGTGAATTTTGCGTGCGTTTTCAAATCGCTTTATCGCACGCTTCGATCGGCTGGACCGCGACCGCGGGAAGAAGAAGAGACGAGGAACGCATCGGCGGCGTCGTCGCCTAGCAACTATTGTTTATTAAGGGCCACGGTTGCCAGGCGACACAAAGATTGTATACGGGGATGTTGGATTCACGGTTTATGATGATGATGATGATTGGGCTCAATGTGTCTTGTGATATTTTGAGGATTGTGAGATTGTTTTTTTATTATTATTACTACAATTATCATTATTTTCTTTTCTTATTTGTTTGGTTAGCTTAGAGTGCGTTTTTCTTTTTTGAGGCTTTATTTCGATTATATTATATGATATATATATATATTTATATGTGTGTGCGTGTGTGTATATTGTTTTTGTTTATTTCATTTGTTTTTTCTTTAATTGTTTTCTGTGCGTTTTGTGGATGCGGGAGGTTCGGTTTTTTATTAGATGCTAATAATATTTTTATTTTCGCTTGATGATGATGATGCTGATGACGGTGGAAGTGTGTTTCAAAGGTTGTGTCCGCCCGCATCCGTAGACAACTAGTGCTTAGCTTTTAATCTATATATAAATACATATATAAATATATTAATTATTATATTCAGAAACGGAAACGGATAGAAGAAGAAGAAGAAAAGATTATGATATGACGTTGGAAAAAGAGAAAAATTAAAACGTAAAATTTAAACTTAAATTAGCAAAGTTTCATGGAGATTATTAAAAAAGTAATTGAAATCTATATATTATAATATAAATCTATATATCTAATTCTTTGATATTTAGCTAAAACAAACTTTCAACTACAAATACTATATATACATACATATATATAATCTATATACTAATTCAACTATACGACTTATTACGATATACATATTATATATTCTTTTGTTTTACGTCGATTTCAGAAAGAGAGCGTTAGAGATCACTTATATCACTTGTTTTGCTTTCGATTTTGCTCCCAAAGATATTTAAACTCATATTCGATGCAAATCTATTACTAATTAATACGTAATCAATATTTTTCTCTTTTCATCTCTCGCTCACTTTGTCGACGTATTTCTTTATTACTGTGTGTGTGCGTGCGTGAGTGCGTGTTGCATTTCGATATTATATAAATAATCAAATGTGCGAACGTTTTCGATTGGCCGTTGTCGCCGCCACCATAGACGCCAGCCATCCTCGATCTTTCAATTCTATTGATTCAATTTTCATTCTTCAGGTGTTTCAAAATAAAACAAAAACAACAACAATGGTGGAGGCGCCGGGCCAATAGAAAATTCGTCGCTATAACGACGACGTAAACAATTCAGGGCAGTGTTAGCCCATATTTTAACGCTTCTTAAACGTACATATATATATATGTACTATTATTACTATTTCTACTACTAATACCATAAATAACAAACACCACCACCACCACTATTATTATTACTACTACTACTATTATTGTACTACCTATTGTTGCGGCTCGCATTTGTAGCGTATATATTATGTAAGTTTGTAGCGGTTTACGATTTTAGATGTTTAAACGTATATATTCTATAATATTAATAACAATACAAGCATATAAATGTAATCATATTCAAATTGGCTATGTACACAATAACATGATAATGCATGGGAAAAGCCTGGATTTTTCGTGGTGAGGAAAGGAGGAAGAGCAGCAGCTGTAGGAGAAGTGAAAGATAAACCAAAAACCGAAGGGAGGAGCAGTTCCTAGATCCATCCATCCCTTCTTACTTAAAACAAAACAAAACATCGTTATCAATGATGAATGGTTGATGGAGAAGAGAAGGAGGGAGGAAGGATAGTTCATAAAAGCTAGTCATGGATTTTGGATTAAGTAAAGCCATAAACAAACAACCAACACCATCACCACTACCACCACCCAATGAGCTGTTCCTAAATGTATTATTCTATGTGTGCTAAATATATTTAAAGAAACAAACAGAAAAAGTATAGTGTGCACCCACCCATATTATGTGTATATATACAAATGTATGTGTGCACACCTACTTTATCTTTCAATTTATTATATTGTTCATCACTCGTCCCCCCTTCCACCGTTTCCCCTACAATTTTTATACGTATTTTATACACATTTTAAGTGTTTGTGATTCGTCCATTTCCTATGTATGTGCTGAACTTTTATAAGTAATTACTTATCACTTGTCTTCTTAATGATCATTTCTTTGAATTGAAAACCATTCAAACATTAAAAACGTAACAGAAAGTTAACATTTTTTATACAAATTCCTCATTAAAGCATGCATTTTATACCTTCTTTTATTTTCTGTTCCCATAAGAAACCCCCCAATAAAAACAAAACTTTAAAATATCTCTTTGTAATTTTATTATTAATCACATACACAAACTTTTTAAAAAAATTCGTCAAAGTAAGTAACCATGGTGATAAAATAATGCTTAGCAACAGGTATATTTAATTAAGGAAACAAAAGAAGTACAAATACAATATTGAGATTTATTATTGAAATGAATGTATGTACAAATAATGTTCATCGTCATCATCATCAATTAATTATGTTTATTATTTATGTTGGATGAGCTGAAAAGAATGTGAATTATATCCCATTTGGCATCATGACATCGGAACCATCAGTATGTACTTGAGTGTATCACAGATGTGTCCACCTCTCCTGTTCGTTATCACATCACCATATGATCATCATCGTCTCAGTTCCTCAGTGGAAATGCCATATTTGGATTTCATCTTGTCGATCTCCTCCTGCTTCTTCTCCAGGTCAGTCTTTTTGAAGGCCTTGCTCGCCTGGTAGTAGAGGACGACCAGGTAACGATTGCAAACGTTGAAACCGGACAAGTGATCGCAAGCGTTCTTCGCGTCGAATATATCTTCGTACACGACGAAAGCGGTGCCCCTGGTGTCCGGGGTGTTGCCGACGCGGATCTGCCTTATTGCACCGTACTTTCCGAATATATCGTACATCTCCTCCGCGGAGATCTTGTAAGGAAGATTGCGTATGTACAGGATCCTGTTGATCTCTGGAGGCAGCCTCACCTGAACAACAACACACACACACACATTAGATACAACATTACATTAGAGCTGATGATAAAAACTACTTACGTTCGCCTTCCTTTGCATCGCTAAAGCCATTTTTTTGATATTTTATAAACAAGCACCAAACCAAACAACACTTTTAATCTGCTGCTCACTGCTGCTGTCACAGAAGAAGAAACACAGGTTATGTTCACGTAAACAACGTTTTTATTGTGTATTCAGAGCAGTGCAAAGTTCTGCCAACCGTTTTACAATGTTACCACCACCACCACACATTGTCGATATAATATGAATATGACATAACCTAGAATAAGTAGACTGCAGTAATTTGTGTAAATACACATATTTTGTTTAGTTTATTTGCGATGTCTTTGGCGTCCAAGGTAACATTGGGTGCGTCCTGTGCCGTTTCCCTTTCTATAGTCGGTTACGTTCACTACAAGCAGCAGTTCGATAGGTTTGTTCTCTCGAATTAGATGAATAATATGTAATGTTGTTGATTATCATATGAACCACAGGGAGAAGTTGCACGAGGGCGTCATCAGGGACGTTGAGAGACAGCAGAGGCGAAAGGCAGAGAACCTCTACACCTTGCAGCAGCAGATCGACATAACCAAGGAGATCAAAAGAAGCGAAACCAGCATTAATGCAAGCTGATTGATGCACACAACTGTGTGTGTGCGTTTGTGAGTTCTAGATACTAGATATTTTTTAGGTCTACACTTTCTTTAGTCTATACTATATTTAACTGCAATGTAAATAAATGCAATGACTATCGTCACATGGTGGATGTGTGTGTGTTCTCTTACTTTACTTGGAACATATCATCAATTATTTGATTACCTAAGCAGGCGGTGCAACTGTGCAATTCATCAATTTAACATTGAAATCTAAAAAAAAAATAATGCTGATTCGCCGTTTCAAACGTGTTCACGATGTTGCAAATCATATATTTGATCGTATTGCTATTGTTGCAACGAGTAGAGAAATGCACGGCAAATTCTCGATCTTGTTTATTGTGCTGGGAATGCTTTGCATCTCCCATCAGCTCTTCGATAATGGTAATGGTGTTGTTTTATATTGTATCCTGCAGTAAATTAATGATGATGACTTCTTGCAGAAATTAATTTAGAATGCGAAGGAAAGAGGATATACGAAAACGTTACTCTGACCGCCTACTATCCGGATTTCGACGATGAGGATCACGAGAGCGGTTACCATGACAAAGAGGGAAACGCTCTGAAAACGCTGCAGGTAACATATTATAACTATGGAAACGAACAGTGAACGAGAGAGAGAGATGCTGACGAATCAATTTCAGGATTTCGTCGATGACCGTAATCAGTACGTGACCGTTGCCATGGATCCCAATTTAAATATTCCGTATGGAAGCGCGATCTGCATACCGGAACTGAACAAGCATTTCGGACATCGCATCCGTTTCCGAGTCTGCGACTCGAGCAGCGATCTCCTCGGAACCGGATACGGAAGGGCGGACATTTGCGTACGCTCAGAGGTGGACAGCTACGATATCAACGTCAACAGACGGGCCGCCACCCTCTTTTTCGAATAAACAACAACAAAAAGATTATCTTGTCATCTACGATTAAATACTTTTTTTATTTAATATATATATATACATTATTTTAACGCAATCAACTAGAGAATTGGATCCATTTAGATGATGATCTCTGTGTCTCCCAGCTCTTCGTCTGTTGGCAACACAATATTGCTTGGATCTATTAGATCCTTGCAGATGGCAGGTAGACCTGCAGCTTCTCTCCTCTGCAGCTCCAGGAAAGCCTCACGCTGAGACCAATCCCTCAGGTTGTAGTCAGGAAGATACATGAAATAGTAACCGCCAAGCACCAGACAACCTGTGACACTGATGAACATGATCGAGTGTAGGGCATTCCGGTCGGCCTCTTTGCTCTTGTGATCGAAACCGTAGCTGACCCAGTTCTTCCTCTTCGGGATGGTAGCTTGTGATGCATCCTGAGACTTGCAGGCTGCCTCTGCAACATTCACGGTGTCGCTGTTCTTCTTCGACGTAGAAATGAAACGTCTGTTTCCGTTGGAGATGGCCCTCCTCAGTGCCACCATCTGGAATCTCATTACTCCGGACATTCTCGCAGCCCCCAAAACAAAGCCACTTGCGCAAAATACAATGCAGACGAACAATTTACAATTCCGAACCGTTTAGGTTATGTTCTCCGTTATGTCACTGCTGCTGCTAATGTCAGATGGCAGGGGAACCAACCGAAATTATTGGAAGGCAACTGACTAGCTATGGTCAGCTATAGTCGCCTGTATCGCCGAAAATCTAATACGAAAGGTCGTTAGTTCGATTCCCAAAAACCAACAACAAGACCAAAAGATAATTACATTTCGATATAGTCGGGATTTTGATTCGTACTTTTTTCTAGTGTTTTCGGTTTTTCTAATTACATCATCGACAACTCGAATGAAAGCTGAATATCTCACCTTTCCAACGCGCCTATAT